ATTTGGGAATTTGAAAAAACCATGTTTGCATCCTACCCCAGATTCATTTGTTGAACTCCCCAAAGGTGATGGTGTTAGTAGGTGGAGACTTTAGGAGGTGCTTAGGTCATGAGAATGGATACCTTATGAATGAGATTAATGCCTTATAAAAGAGACCCCAGAGAACTCTGCAGACCCTTTTGCCATGTGAAGATAAAATAAAAAAATTGTGATCCAGAAGAGAGTCTTCACCTGATCATGCTGGTGCCATGATATTGAACTTCCAGACTCCAAAACTATGAGAAATAAATTTCTATTATTTATAAGCTACTCAGTTTGTGGTATTTTGTTATAGCGGCCTTAATGGACTAAGATAACCACCTTTTAATGAACTGGCTTAGTGCAGGGAAATACCTTCCTCAGTCAGCCTGGCTAGAAGTTTTGGGACCTTTCAAGCCATTTCTGGGGATGTGACTTCTCTGGGCTTTTTATGTGTGTGTGTGTGTGTGTGTGTGGGGGGGTGTATGTGTGTATTTTACAGAATTTTTTTTAAGTTTAATGTAACTATCCATAAAGATGTATGGAGTAGGAACTTATGCATTAAAAATGTCTTTTATCCTAATGATATAATCTGCCAAAAATAAATTTCTAAAAATTTATTTATTTATTTTATTACGTTCAATTAGCCAACATATAGTACATCATTAGTTTTTGATGTAGTGTTCAGTGATTCATTAGTTGCATATAACACCCAGTGCTCATCACATCACATGTCCTCCTTAATACCCATCACCTGGTTACGACATCTTCCCACCCCCCCTCCTTTCTGCAACCCTCAGTTTTTTCCCAGAGTCAAGAGTCTCCCGTGGTTTGTCTCCCTCTCTGATTTCTTCCCATTCAGTTTTCCCTCTCTTCCCCTTTGGTCCTCTGCACTATTCCTTATATTCCACCTATGAGTGAAACCATATGATAATTGTCTTTCTCTGCTTGACTTATTTCACTTAGCTTAATCCCCTCCAGTTCCATCCATGTTGATGCAAATGGTAGGTATTCATCCTTTCTGATGGCTGAGTAATAGTCCATCATATATATGAACCACATTTTTATCCATTCATCTGTTGAAGGACATCTTGGCTCCTTCCACAGTTTGGCTATTGTGGACATTGCTGCTATAAAACATTAGGGTGCATGTGCCCCTTCTTTTCACTACATCTGTGTCTTTGGGGCAACTACTTAGTAGTGCAATTGCTGGGTCATTGGGTAGCTCTATTTTTAATGTTTTGAGGAACCTCCATACTGTTTTCCAGAGTGGCTGTACTGACTTGCATTCCCACCAACAGTGTAAGAAGTTCCCCTTTCTCCACATCATCACCAGCATTTGTTGTTCCCTGTCTTGTTAATTTTAACCATTCTGACTGGTGTAATGTGGTATCTCATTGTGGTTTTGATTTGTATTTCCCTGTTGGCTAGTGATGTTGAACATTTTTTCATATGTCTGTTAGCCATTTGTATGTCTTCTTTGGAGAAATGTCTGTTCATGTCTTCTGCCCATTTCTTGACTGGATTATTTGTTTTTTGGTTGTTGAGTTTTAGAAATGCTTTATAGATCTTGGACACCAGCCCTTCATCTGTTATGTCATTTGCAAATATCTTCACCCATTCCATGAGTTGCCTTTTAGTTTTGTTGACTGTTTCCTAAAATTCAAGTTAGTTAACATATAGTCTAGTATTGGTTTTAGGAGTAGAATTTAGTGCTTCATCACTTATATATAACACCCACTGCTCATCCCAACAAGTGCCCTCCTTAATGCCCATCATCCATTTCGCCCATCCTCCCACCCACCTCCCCTCCAGCAACGCTCAGTTTGTGCTCTATAGTTAAGAGTCTCATGGTTTGCCTCCTTCTCTGTTTTTATCTTATTTTATTTTCCCTTCCCTTCCCCTGTGTTCATCTGTTTTGGTTCTTAAATTCCACATATGAGTGAAATCATATGATATTTGTCTTTCTCTGACTGACTTATTTCGCTTAGTATAATACCCTCTAGGTATTATCTCTTCCATCTTATTGGTTGCTTTTTAGTTTTGTTGGTTGTCTCCTTCACTGTGCAGAAGATTTTTATCTTAATAAGGTCCCAATAGTTCATTTTTGCTCTTGTTTTCCTTGCCTCCAGAGACATGTCTAGTAAGAATTTGATGCAGCTGAGGTCAAAGAGACTGCTGCCTCTTTTCTCCCCTAGGATTTTGATGGTTTCCTGGCTTACATTTAGGTCTTCCATCCATTTTGAATTTATTTGTGTGTAGTGTAAGAAAGTGGTCCAGTTTCATTCTTCTGCATGTCACGTCCAGTTTTCCCAACACCATTTGTTGAATATACTGTCTTTGTGTGTGTGTTTTAATTTTTTTATTTAAATTCAATTAGCTGAGGTATAGTACATCATTAGTTTTTGATATAATGTTCAATGTGTGTGTTTTTTTAGCTGTCTCAAATTTCCTAAGCAGCTTGTTTTTTCTTCTCCAGAGATCACAATCTCTTATTCCTCCTGGTGTCATCTTGTGGAACTGCATAATGTCTGTAGCTCTGAGCCACTTTGATGGTATCTGTTTTCAGCACTTTTTCTTTTTTTTAAATTCTTTTTTTTATTATTATGTTATGTTAGTCACCATACAGTACATCATTAGTTTTTGATGTAGTGTTCCATGATTTATTATTTGCACTTCTAAACTGCTCTGCTGTTTCTACTATGCTCTGAATCAGATGAGACAGAAACCATCCCCTCAGGCAGCCCCCAGACAATCTAAATTGTTTGATGCATGGTCTGTTCTGTTTCCATCTTGAGGGTGGAGCAGGTATGGGAGGTTTCCTCCTAATTGTGTCACTACACCAGGTTGGGGTGGCATATGAGTGTACAAAACTTTGCAAACTTTCCTACAGCTTTCACTGGAATCCCTTCCTGGTTTTCCATTGGCCTGGGTGCTGCTCCTTCTCAGTTGGTTTCTAGCATTCTTACAAAGGTATTTTAGTCCACAGAGTGCGGTTATTTGGATGTCTCCTTGGGAGAAGGGTTGGGGACTTCTTAGTCTGTCATTTTACTGATGTCACTACCCTAAATGATTTAAAAACAATAATTTTCGCCAGTAGCTGGGAGTAGATGCATGGAGCTTCTCGCACTGTCATACCATCTGCATAGGACTATTCCTGTTTTAAACCCCGAAGTTTGTGATGATTAGTTACAGCAACCATAGCAAACATACTTAGCTCAGTATTTAAAACTATATGTATGTATACCTTTTATTTATTATGTAGAAATGGTATAAATTTAATACATTTCTTACTCTTTGGCTCTTAACATGGAGATTGAACTTATTCACAATATTTTTCCTCTAAATCATTTTCATGTACATCCACACTTCCAACTCTAACTAGAATGTTATTAGGAAGAAGACAAAGCCATAAACCCAAGGATTATGGGAGTAAGAGATCTGAGTTCTATTATCCATTCCCTGTGTAACTTTAGGCAAGCCCAATCTCTGGGTCCCAACTTCCTCATATGTTACATTGAAGGGTTGGACCTTGGAGTGGACATAAATGTTGTTTTTAGTCTGTTGAACATTTATATCATTGGGTTGATGGATTCCTTACCTAGCACTTCCTCTCCCTTATAATAATGAGTAAGTGAAAGGCATAGGAAAGGCGATTTCAAATGACTCCCTGGGATTCATTTGTGGAGGCTGGGAATAAGAAGCTCTCTTTCCATCCTGGCTCCTAAGATGAGGTAATGAATGTCAACATTTTCTATACTTATCTGTTCCATTATATGGATAAGGTCTATGTGTAGCAAAAGCCAGGCAGAGATGAATAGAGATGAAAGAATTTCAAAGAATAAGAGTCTTGGTGGCACTGAGTCCTTAGTCCTAAATCTCTGCATTGGATGCTGTGAGGAACCTAGAATCCCCCTCAGCTACAGGATCACATTAAACTAATATTTTTCGTTTTTATCCCTTGTAAGGAAAGGTTCTTCACTAATATGTAGAACATGCTAGAGAGAGCCCAGACCACCTTTACATCTTTCTCCTACTGTCTGTACCCCTGAATTCCCTTGAGCCTCAGTTTCTCCATTCATACAATAAGGATAATCATTTTTATACTCAAGTTGCTATGCCGGTAAATACAATAATATGGGAAAAGTAGATGCTTGGTGTACAGTAGTTGCCTAACAAATAGTAGTATTGTAGTATCACCAATTTAATCATTTCTCAAGGTGGATATTGCTCAGAGTTCAGAGGTTATAACAAAGTAGAAAAATTAAATAAGTAAGGCTTTGGGAACAGAAAAAATGGTTTGAAATTGTACTTCAGTGCTCTGTGGATGTGGGAACTTTATCACCTGGCATCCCTTAGGACAGTGCTGACTTTAAGCAAACTGGCTTAAGAAGGAGATGTTTTCTTTCCCATTATCGGAGGTCCAGAAGTGGGGTTGGAACCAGGAACAATATGGCTGTGCAATGTTGTCAACCCACATTCTTTACATCTTTGCACTTCTCTAGAGCAGATTTTTCCTCAACTTGGTTCCCCTCATGGTCATAAGATGTCTCTCTGGAGCACCTGGGGCAACCTGATTGCTTGTTCCTAGCCAACAGGAGAGAGAATTGTATTAGTTTCCCAGATTTCTCTGCAAGTCTGTCCTTTTCACTTATGGACACAAATTGGCTTAAACCAGTCTCATATTTGAGTTAACCACTAGTAGGGAGTCATGAAATTACCTTAATTTTTTAAAATCTAGCTATTGGGGGTGAGTTATTCAATATTGCGATGTCAACCAAAATATCCCTCACCATTCAATTGACCTTTCTGAGTCTGTTTCTCCTCTGTAAAACACTTAACTCACAGGTTGTTGAGAGAATGACAGATCAAATGTATAATGCACCTTCAATAATATTTAGCATAATATAGTAATTCAATGAATAGAGGATTGGTTAACTGAGATGATAGCCCATAATAGGGGGTGGATGAGACAAACTCACTAGTCACAAACACCTTGGTGCCCGGACCTGACTGGAACTCCGTGTCAGGTTTCCCCTCCTTGAATTTTACACAGTAGTAGATGCCAGTGTCTGCAAGAGAGAGTTCACTGATGCGGATGGAAAAGTCTGTGTTGCCAGGTTTGGTGGGGTGTCCAATTTCTTTTACTCTGGGAAAGAAACCTTCCTTGAAATTGTAGATTAATTCCCGGTTTGGCCCATGTCCCTTGAACCATAAGACGGGTCCTTTTGGGAATGAATCTGGTACACTGCAACTCAAGGTGATTGTCTCTCCAGTTGATACAGTCTGTGTCATCTCAGCTTGTTGCACCTGGAATATCTCATGTGTGGTTCCTGCAAAGAAATGCAGAATCATTTCCCATTTCTCATGCTCTGGCCCAGGCAGGACTGAAGAACTAGGATCCAGATCATGGGTGGGCCTCATTCATGACTTCTGTTAATGATGTGTGTGCGCGCACACACACTGAGTTTAGAGAGGCCTCTGCAAGTGGTGGAAGCTCCTGACCTGGGAGGGGAGTCAGTGCAGAGGATCAGATGTATCACCTCCCCAGTTCCACGTCCCAGCCCCTAACCAAGGAAAGAGGAGGACAGGGAGGGAGAGGACTGCGATTATGTATTGATGGTGTTTATAGAGAGAGACCAGTCCCTCTCCCATCTAAATGCCAAAAATCACTCAATACATTTGGAGATGGGTCCAAGCATCCTCTGCTGACCTCATACCTATAGGGAGTTTGGGATTGACCCTCATCTCTTTTCTGAAGGGTGAGCACCCACTGAATTTGTGGAGATATTAGTGCTGAGAGGTGTGGAGAAAGGGTAAGTCAAGAGATAGCAAACCTAGAGAATCAGGAGCCATTTAGGACTACTAAATGGAGGCATGCAGGCAGAGTATGGTTCCTCTGCTTATCTGTCAAGGGGGAAGAGAGAGACAGTTTCCTCTTCCCAACAAAAAAGAGTAGAACCTCAAGGGACCTTATCAATTTTGGAGGGCCCACAACTGACCCCCAACACCCTCTGCCACCACCATCACTACCCCATATTAGTCAGGTCCTGGTAATCTCTCTCCTTTCAGGTTGGCAAACCATCAAAAGCACAGATGGGCTAAGGTGTGGGTTAGAGAGACAAGGGAACTCTTGTCTGGTGAGGCTGGGAGAGAATGCGGGTAAGCTGCCTACACTCAGACTTGTTGGTTTGAGGGACATATGTAAATTTTCCATGGCCAGTTGGATATCATGGAAGGTGACTGGACTTGAAGAGAACATCACTAAGACTAGTCTTCCCAGAAGAACAGATAGATGCACTAATCTCACTGTATTTAATGTAATTAATCCAGAGAGTGGCAAGAAGTAGCAAACACTGTTTGTCCTCAGAGAAGAGAACAGCAGAGCTGGGGGTAGACTAGGGCAGACCAGGGAAAGATCAGATGCCAGGGAGAGTGACTCAACCCCTCCAGGACAGCTTTTCCAAACAAGATGTGGGAGTGGGTGATACTCAAGCCCTGTCCTTCTGGTCTGCTGGCTCCCCAGAAGCCATAGTAGGAGCCCACACCCACTCATTGACTTCCTGTGTGGGGAACGGGGTCCCTGACTGCATTGAGATGGCCCCTCAGGGACCTGCCACCAGGCTTCAATCATATTCCAGTTAGAAATGGGTGAGTGGATTTGTGCAGGCTTGTAGAGAGTCTGCCTGTTTGTGGATCCCTTTGCTTTGGCTCAGGAGGTATTGGGCTTAGGGAGCAAACTCTACCCTGTGTTAAGATTTCATCCTGAATCTGGAAGATAAGATATGGCAAGAAGGGTCAGTGAATGGAAAATGGGTCTCAGAGCATAGGTTAGAAGATACTCAATGGAGAGCTCTCATCCCAGGATTGTCCCCTCAGACCTTAGAAAAGCCAGCTGGCCATGTAGGTCTCAGTTTTTCTCACTTTTTGGATCATAAAGTGCACACCTGTAGTTGTATTGTGCCTACCTGGTGTCTTTTTATGTGAGAGTTTCCCTTGCCATGTGTCACTGGTTTGGTGGAGTTGGCCATCAGGGCAGGGCATGGCCTGTCAACATGGCTTGATTCAATATTAGGCACAGGACCACAGAATGGTTAATTAATAGGGCCATCTGCAGAATCTAACTTATAGGGTGGTTTGTGATTGAAGGGGCACAGAATCTAGTGTGTAGTGATGATTTGGTTCATGTTTCAGATTTTAAAAAATTTATTTTTACAAACCAAGGGGATGGAGTTTGTTAGGGTGTACTCACCATTCACAGACACAAAGGTGCCTGAACCAGATACATATGCCATGTCAGGGTGTGCTATTGTTAGCTTCACACAGTAATAGGTACCCACATCTTTGGGTGACACATCACTGATGCGGATGGAATAGTCTGTTTGGTTGAACTCTGTGTTTTCCACTTGGGTTACTCGGGGGAATTGGCTTCCATTGAAATTGTAGATTAATTGTCGTTCTTGCCCATTCTCCCTGAACCATAAGACAGGCCCTGCTGGGGATCGAGCAGACACGTTGCAGCCCAGTGTTAGGATCTCTCCAGCTCTGACTGAAACTGAACTCTCAGGTTGGGTCACCTGGAAGTCTTCATCCGAAGTTCCTGGAAAGAAATTTTGCATCCTTTCTCATGTTCTTTGTCTTGGCCGAAGATGTTCTGAGGGTCTGCTTTTAGGTCAAGGTGGGGCCTCATTACACACTCTTTTAGCAATATGTACTGGTGCCAAAGTATGAAAATTACAAACCGGGTTGCCATATGGGATGAGGGGAAGGGGACCAATGTACAGAAAGGTGGAGGGTACCTTTGTTCTGCATCAGGATAAGAGAATGGCCTGGAGCATAGTAGATGCTATATAAACAGGGGAACTTGCTGAATAACAAATTACCACAAACTTAGTTTAAGGAAACACATATTATTTCATAGTTCCTGTGGACCAGGAATTCAGGCACAGCTTAGCTTAGCTGTCACACACAGAGGGAAGATGATGTGAAGACACAGTGGGAATTCCATGTACAATCTGAGGATGGTCTGAGGCTACCAGAAGCTAGGAGAGAGGCCTGGAACAGATTCCTCCTCACAGTTTATAGCAGCTTTAGTTATAATTGCCAAGCTTAAAAGCAACCAAGATGACCTTCAATAGGTGAATGGATAAGGAATTGTGGTACATCCAGACAGTGGAATATTATCCAGTGCTAACAACAAATGAGCTATCAACCCCTGAAAAGATATGGAAGAAGCTTAATCAAAAGGAGAAGCCTGCATACTGCATGATTCCAAGTACGTGATATTCTGGAAAAGGCAAAACTATGGGGGAAGGGAATATATCAGTGATTGGCAGGGTTAGGGTGGAAAGAGATAAATAAGCAGAGCACAGAGGATTTTTAGGGCAGTGAAGCTACTCTGTATAATACTATAAAAGTGGATATCACTATACATTTGTCCAAACCCATAGACCATACAATACTAAGGGTGAAACATAATGTGAATTATGGACTTTGGGTGTTAATAACATACTAGTGTAGGTTCACCATTTTTAATAAGTGTACCACTCTGGTGGAGGATGTTGGTAATTGGAGAGAGTGATATGTGGGGACAGGGAGTAGTATGGGAAATCTCTGCACTTTCTGTTCCATTCTGGTGTGAAACTAAAACTGCTTTAAAATATAAAGTCTATTTATAAAAAAGTCATTTCCATATCAAAGGTCATTTAGATTTTCTTCTATGATATCTTGTAGGAATTTTATAGTTTTGTGTTTTACATTTGAGTTATTTTTATGAAGGTTGTTAGGTCTGTGTCTAGAATCAATTTTTTTCTCTTTGCACATGGATGTCCAGATGTCCAATCGCTCCAGCAACATTTGTTGAAAAGACTATTTTGCTCCTTTCCCAAAGATCAGTTGGCTGTATTTATGTGGGTCTATTTCTGGACTTTCTATTCTGTTGCATTGATATGTGTGTCTATTCCTTCACCAATGCCACTGTTTCAATTACTGTAGCTTTCTAGTAAGTCTTGTATTGAATGGTGTCAGTCCTCTGACTTTGTTCTTTTCCAACATTGAGTTGGCTATTCTGGATTTTTAATTTCTCCATATGAACTTTAGAATCAGTTTGTTAATATCCATCAAATAGTTTGCTCTTATATTGATTGGGATTGCATTTAATCCTTAGATTAGGTTGGGAAGAATGAATATCCTGCCAATATTGAGTCTTCCCATCCACGAACATGGTATGTATCTTTATTCGTTTAGTTCTTCTTTGATTTAAAACTGATTGCTTTAATTGGTTTTCTAGCTTTCCTCATATACATCTTGTACATATGAGATTTATACATATTTCTCTTTTTTAGAGGGTGATATTGTAAATGGTCACATGTGTTTTTAGTATATAGAAACATAATTGATTTTTTTAACTTATATTTTTACCTTAAAATGTATAGTAAATATCTTTCTTTTTTTAATTAACATATAATGTATTATTTGTTTCGGGGTACAGGTCTCTGATTCATCAGTCTTACGCAATTCACAGTGCTCACCATAGCACATACCCTCCCCAATGTCCATCACCCAGCCACCCCATCCCTCCCACTCCCCTCCACTCCAGCAACCCTCAGTTTGTTTCCTGAGATTAAGAGTTTCTTATGGTTTATCTCCCTCTCTGGTTTCATCTTGTTTCATTTTTCCCTCCCTTCCCCTATGATCCTCTGTCTTGTTTCTCAAATTCCTCATATCAGTGAGATCATATGATACTTGTCTTTCTCTGATTGACTTATTTAGCCTAGCATAATACCTTCTAGTTTCATCCACATCATTACAAATGGCAAGATTTCATTTTTTGATGGCTGCATAATATTCCATTGTATATATATACCACATCTTCTTTATCCATTCATCTGTTGATGGACGTCTAGGCTCTTTCCATAGTTTGGGTATTGTGGACATTGCTGCTACAAACACTGTGGTGCAGGTGCCCCTTTGGATCACTACATTTGTATCTTTGGGGTAAATACCCAGTAGTGCAATTGCTGGGTCATACAGTAGCTCTATTTTCAACTTTTTGAGGAACCTCTATACTGTTTTCCAGAGTGGCTGCACCAGCTTGCATTCCCACCAACAGAGTAGGAGGGTTCCCCTTTCTCCACATCCTCACCAACATCTGTCATTTCCTGACTTGTTAATTTTAGCCATTCTGACTGGTGTGAGGTGGTATCTCATTGAGGTTTTGATTTGTATTTTCCTGATGCCGAGTGATGTTGAGCACTTTTTCATGTGTCTGTTGGCCATTTGGATGTCTTCTTTGGAGAAATGTCTGTTCATGTCTTCTGCCCATTTTGTGATTGGATTATTTGTTCTTTGGGTGTTGAGTTTGGTAAGTTCTTTATAGATTTTGGATACTAGCCCTGTATCTGATATGTCATTTGCAAATATCTTCTCCCATTGTCAGTTGTCTTTTGGTTTTGTTGACTGTTTCCTCTGCTGTGCAAAAGCTTTTTATCTTGATGAAGTCCCAATAGTTCATTTTTGCCCTTGCTTCCCTTGCCTTTGGCGATGTTCCTAGGAAGAAGTTGCTGCGGCTGAGGTCGAAGAGGTTGCTGCCTGTGTTCTCCTCAAGGATTTTGATGGATTCCTGTCTCACATTTAGGTCTTTCATCCATTTTGAGTCTATTTTTGTGTGTGATGTAAGAAAATGGTCCAGTTTCATTCTTCTACATGTGGCTGTCCAATTTTCCCAACACCATTTGTTGAAGAGACTTTTTCCATTGGACATTCTTTCCTGCTTTGTTGAAGATTAGTTGACCATAGAGTTGAGGGTCCATTTCTGGGCTCTCTATTCTGTTCCATTGATCTATGTGTCTGTTTTTGTGCCAGTACCATACTGTCTTGATGATGACAGCTTTGTAATAGAGCTTGAAGTCTGGAATTGTGATGCCACCAGCTTTGATTTTCTTTTTCAACATTCCTCTGGCTATTCGGGGTCTTTTCTTGTTCCATACAAATTTTAGGATTATTTGTTCCATTTCTTTGAAAAAAGTGGATGATATTTTGATAGGAATTGCATTAAATGTGTAGATTGTTTTAGGTAGCATAGACATTTTTACAATATTTGTTCTTCCAATCCATGAGCATGGAACGTTTTTCCATTTCTTTGTGTCTTCCTCTATTTCTTTCATGAGTATTCTATAGCTTTCTGAGTACAGATTCTTTGCCTCTTTGGTTAGATTTATTCCTAGGTATCTTATGGTTTTGGGTGCAGTTGTAAATGGGATCGACTCCTTAATTTCTCTTTCTTCAGTCTTGTTGTTGGTGTATAGAAATGCCACTGATTTCTGTGCATTGATTTTATACCCTGTCACTTTACTGAAGTCCTGTATGAGTTCTAGCAGTTTTGGGGTGGAGTCTTTTGGGTTTTCCACATAAAGTATCATATCATCTGCAAAAAGTGAGAGTTTCACTTCTTCTTTGCCAGTTCAGATGCCTTTTCTTTCTTTTTGTTGTCTGATTGCTGAGGCTAGGACTTCAGATACTATGTTGAATAGCAGTGGTGATAGTGGACATCCCTGCCATGTTCCTGACCTTAGGGAACAAGCTCTCAGTTTTTCCCCATTGAGTATGATATTCATATGGGTTTTTTATAGATGGCTTTTATGATACTGAGGTATGTACCCTCTATCCCTACACTGTGAAGAGTTAATCAAGAAAGGATGCTGTACTTTGTCAAATGCTTTTTCTGCATCTATTGAGAGTATCATATTATTCTTGTTCTTTCCTTTATTTTTTTATTTTTTTATTTTTTTTAAAGATTTTATTTATTTATGAGAGACAGAGAGAGAGAGAGAGGCAGAGGGAGAAGCAGGCTTCCCACAGAGCAGGGAGCCCTATGTGGGACTCGATCCCAGGACCTGGGATCATGACCTGAGCCGAAGGCAGACACTTAACCATCTGAGCCACCCAAGCACCCAGTTCTTTCTTTTATTAATGTATTATATCACATTAATTGATTTGCAGATGTTGAACCAACCTTGCAGCCCAGGAATAAATCCCACTTGGTCGTGGTGAATAA